GACACTCTGATCTGGTTATGTTAATGATTTCCTTATATGCATACTTCATTGACCAATCAATGCATTGACACTGATCTAGTTATATTAATGAGTTGCTTATATGCATATTTCATTGACCAATCAATGCAGTGACACTCTGATCTGGTTATGTTAATGATTCCTTATATGCACACTTCATTGACCAATCAATGCAGTGACACACTGATCTGATTATGTTAATGAATTCCTTATATGCATACTTTATTGACCAATCAATGCAGGGACACACTCTGATCTGATTATATTAATGATTTCCATATATGCATATTTCATTGACCAATCAATGCAGTGACACTCTGATCTGGTTATGTTAATGAGTTGCTTATATGCATATTTCATTAACCAATCAATGCAGTGACACACTGATCTGGTTATGTTAACGAGTTGCTTATATGCACATTTCATTGACCAATCAATGCAGTGACACTCTGATCTGGTTATGTTAATGAGTTGCTTATATGCATATGACATTGACCAATCAATGCATTGACACTGATCTGGTTATATTAATGAGTTGCTTATATGCATATTTCATTGACCAATCAATGCAGTGACACTCTGATCTGGTTATGTTAATGAGTTGCTTATATGCATATTTCATTGACCAATCAATGCAGTGACACTCTGATCTGGTTATGTTAATGAGTTGCTTATATGCATATTTCATTGACCAATCAATGCAGTGACACTCTGTTCTGGTCATGTTAATGAGTTGCTTATATGCATATTTCATTGACCAATCAATGCAGTGACACTCTGATCTGATTATGTTAACGAGTTGCTTATATGCATATTTCATTGACCAATCAATGCAGTGACACACTTTGATCTAATTATATTACCAAAGATTGTATAACTAAATATTTCATAGTCGGTCACATTCTTGAAATTTTGTTCTTGTAAATGTTCTTAAAGTTCTCATACTAAGAAACGTTTTAATAGCAAAAATTTACAATTTTGCTCAGTGTCCATTTCAGTCAAGCATGTCTATGTAAATAAACCGATGCAATCTACATGCTTTTAAACAAAAATATCATTCAGAAATTCTACGACGATGTAATAAGACATCATTTCTAAAAATTCAGTAAGTACAAGTTTGCTACTTTCTTCAGAGATATACAGATTTCTTGATACAGCTTAAAAAATTCTAAGGCAATATCAGTTTTCTTTGAAATTTTGTTATAATGAATTTTAATTAAAATTGTTCTGGTAAGTGTAAAACATAAACAAACATCAGGCATCAATATTATCTGGCTAGCGGTTTTCAAGAAGTCATTTAAAACAAATTTGATATGGAACAAATGCTGATGGACAATCACCTTTATGAACGAGTCTGTTCAGTCAACGTCAATGACGGATTGGAAAAGCTAAAGAGTACTGATTTTGTTGAGGCAATTTCTTCTCACATTAGTTTGAATTGAGCAAATTCAACATCACACATCAATTCATGATTTGAGTTTATACTGTGTATTTTCCATCTTAACCTTAAAATACACACACAGCTCAAACGGCAGCTCGGGGAAAAGTTCGCCATTGTCAAGCTTTGTTAAATTATAATCATTGTCAAGCTTTGTTAAATTATAATCATTGTCAAGCTTTGTTAAATTATAATCAATGTCAAGCTTTGTTAAATTATAATCATTGTCAAGCTTAGTTAAATTATAATCATTGTCAAGCTTTGTTAAATTATAATCATTGTCAAGCTTTGTTAAATTATAATCATTGTCAAGCTTTGTTAAATTATAATCATTGTCAAGCTTTGTTAAATTATAATCATTGTCAAGCTTAGTTAAATTATAATCATTGTCAAGCTTTGTTAAATTATAATCATTGTCAAGCTTTGTTCAATTATAATCATTGTCAAGCTTTGTTCAATTATAATCATTGTCAAGCTTAGTTAAATTATAATCATTGTCAAGCTTTGTTAAATTATATCATTGTCAAGCTTTGTTAAATTATAATCATTGTCAAGCATTGTTGAATTATAATCATTGTCAAGCTTAGTTAAATTATAATCATTGTCAAGTTTTGTTAAATCATATCATTGTCAAGCTTTGTTAAATTATAATCATTGTCAAGCTTTGTTAAATTATAATCATTGTCAAGCTTTGTTGAATTATAATCATTGTCAAGCTTTGTTAAATTATAATCATTGTCAAGCATTGTTGAATTATAATCATTGTCAAGTTTTGTTAAATTATATCATTGTCAAGCTTTGTTAAATTATAATCATTGTCAAGCTTTGTTAAATTATAATCATTGTCAAGCTTTGTTGAATTATAATCATTGTCAAGCTTTGTTAAATTATAATCATTGTCAAGCATTGTTGAATTATAATCATTGTCAAGTTTTGTTAAATTATATCATTGTCAAGCTTTGTTAAATTATAATCATTGTCAAGCTTTGTTAAATTATAATCATTGTCAAGCTTTGTTGAATTATAATCATTGTCAAGCTTAGTTAAATTATAATCATTGTCAAGCTTTGTTAAATTATAATCATTATTAAACTTGTCAAATCAATGCTGTTATATCAAATAACACTGTCAAATCATGGATACATGACAAGTTTAATTGTTAAGTCACAATTATCAAACCTAAGAAAAAAACATTATCACTGTCAAGCTTCATCAATTTTCAGTTCAATCTATCACCAGGTCATTCGCCTCCCGGCTGAGTGATTTAGAGGCAACATATGGTGCCATACTTGTAGCTAAACATGCTTCCAAAAGAGGATTTTGAGATTTTATTTTCTTCATTTTTGTGAAATGTGACACATGAAAAATAATATTTCAGATTAATCAATTTAGATGTACTGTAAAATACTTTATTTTCGCTTGGAATTATCGAGTGAAAATAAAATCCAGCAAATATACCTTTTTCCCTATATTTTACATTCAACTCATCAAACATAAGTGAAATAAATCCCATACAAAATACCCAAAAAGTCCTTTCAGTGAAAATTAATTCCAGCTAAAATAAAGTATTTTAAACAAATGCAAGCGACTAACAGCATTGATCACTTTATCAAATATTCATGTCGATAATTTCAAAATTTCAACGAAAACAACTAAGCCCTTCCAGACTGAGCGGCACCAAAAGTAATGAACCATGTGCATTGCATAGTCGTAGAACATGTTCCAATTAATTCACCAATCCAGCAATTTACTTTTATTATCTTGTGAATCTTCACAGTTGATCACCGATTACAAAAAACTGTCACACTGTTATCATGAAGATATACTGATTGATACAAAATCTGTGGATTCATATTTGTTTCCATAGAAACTAGTAAGGGAAATTGTTTATTTTTTTGTTTTCACTCAAAATCTGCATATGGCGATCAATTATCCTTGTCGTAATATACAAGCCGCTCTCCATCAAAATAAGTTCGATGAGAGCTAATGTATAAACATGTTTTCAATAGAATCCAGTGCTGGTTTCAACACGAGACAAAGTGATACAAAGACAAGTTACTGTAACTTAAAGCGAGTGAGTCGTGACCTGCGCATGCATCAGATGGGCATAGCGTGTCACTGTTTACAAGAAAGCGTCTACCCATGAGTCTTTGCGTTTTTAGTGTGCGTTGTTATCTTCGCTTGGAACTCAATTCCCGCACGTGCGCAGGTGACGTCCTTCTCGCTTTAAGCAACCACAATATTGATCAGTAGTTGTGACGACACGAAATTTCACATAAATCATGACATTCACATACTTAGACTTTCACATTAATCCCCACGATTACACATTGAACTTTCCGTCTGCAAAACATTTTCAATTCTTAAATTGTCGTAATTGTTTTATTTTATTTTTGTTCATGCAGCCTCGTATTAAATTGTAATTACTGAGTACATATCCAAGATCTTAGATATCCAAAAACTGCGTCAAGTGATGTTACTGAGCTGCTGTCCCGCCATCCACGAGAATTCGAGTAGCATGATCAAATATACGGTATAAATAAAATGCTTGTCAAACGAAAACATGAAATAGACACACAACATTTATCCAAGAATATTGCATCATGGGCTTTTGCACTTACAAGTGTATAACGGTAGAGGAGGTACTTGGCAAAAGGCAAAACAAAAAGTTGTCAAACACAATTGATATGCCACAGTATGCGCATACATGGCGCTTTCACATTTTTGAATAAACATATAATGTATTTAACAAGCATTGTTCATGTTGCACGGGAAACACATCAAACATAATGCCATGGCAACTGTGATGCTTTGAAAAATCACAAGTAGCCGAAAGTAGCCGCTTTCATTACTAAAAAAAAAGATATGTAAGCATCAGTATAAAAATTTCAGTTTTACAACAAAAGATGATCATGAAATAACTAAACTCTACCTACCTACCTACCTGTTACATTGACGCTACTACACTCACATAATAATGTTTTTAAAAAAAACACTTAATTTAAAACATACAACTAAAGAGGGAAAAAATATGTAAATTTGTCATTGTCAGTTTCAGCACCAAATCTCTCCAACATCATTGTCAATCTTTCCACACAAAAAAAACAAAAACACTGTCATCGCAAATATTTTCTATATTTGCAAGCAAGTACATGATTTCTTTTTAAAAGAAATTAAAAAAAAATTTAATTTTTTCATTTAAAAGTTTTGGTCACATTTTCACAATACATTCCAGTGTATATTGTATCACGATTAAACTCTCATAATTGTTCACTACTGTGCACAATGGTGTAAACTCTTTCTTTTTTGGTAAAATTCATCATTTTTTACACTTTCGAATCAAGCAAAATATTTCAACAAAGTTATCAAATCTGTCTGATAATTGTTCACTACCGTACTGTGCACATTGATGTAACTCTTCAGCCATGATATTATCAATCTGGGAAATCTTTTTACTTTTTTGGTAAAATTCATCATTTTTTACAGTTTCAAATCAACATTTAAGCAAAAATATTTTAACAAAATTATCAAATCTGTCTGAATATTAAAAGATTATCCAATCACAAGCTAGACTTATAGTACATGCCCTTCTATTGGTCAATACATGTCACATGACTTTATAGCTCCATAATTATATATTGACAAATAACTTTGTTCATCCAGGTAGGGTTAGTGCAGTCTCATGATGGAGACAGATGTCTTGTAAAATGTCATCTTAGTGATGATTTGCTAATACCCTCAAGACACGTTTCTTTGGTATCTGATTTTTTTTTAAAAATGACAGAAAGGTGCACTAAAACGAGGGACAAGTCTCAAAGGCCCACCTACAATAAAATGGAATGTTCCAGGATTCTTGGTGAGTAGAGATACAGCTGACAACAGACAAGATAACATAACATTCACTTGACAAAGATGTGCTTGGACAGTGGTCTCAAGTTGTTGTCATGACAATATTGCGGCACTTCGCCGTGGGACAATCCCATCTAGGCTGGCTGATCGTTTGAGAGTGGCCTTGACAATGTCTTTGAACTTGTCTTCTGATATTCTTGACATTGCCTGCAAATTTGAAAAAAAAAAAAAAATATTCAAACCTCGGTCTGAATGCCAAAGTTGATTTGCACCGTGAATTGATTTCCTACACCTATCAAGCGTTATTGTCAACTGATTGGCTGACAATACAACAGTGTTGGTTTCCTGAAGCAAACAGCCAATCAGCTGACGATTTCGCTTTATACAAACTGTAGGTATAGGAAACAAATTCATGGCCACAGTGGTGCACTATCTGAAAAACAGCAACATCATAACACCACATAGTCTTTTATAAACATATTTGGAAGTTGTATCAATGTGAAGCCATTAAGTGACATTCTTGACATACCAACTACAGCCTATGTTAAGTCAATGTAAATTTTAAAAGACACATTTTTACCAAAATCTTCAAAATATACGTGG